GTCATTCTGAAGTGACACCGACGTTTAGCAAAGGTTAAAGACGAATTCTGATCTGATGATAGGCCTACGTGTTCAAGAAATATTAAACTCTGTTGACGTCATAATTTGTAGAATATAAGCCGACAACAAAAAGATTACCATTTAATTTCCACAGCTGCCCGTATTCATTACGCCAACTTCTGGGTATTATACCGTGTCTAAGTGGTAAATAATAGGCTTCTGAGCGGTTCTGGGGAAGCACCAGCCTTCTTCAACCTTTGTTCTTTTAAGAAGGCGCCCAGACCCTCCAAAATGCTAGTAGGTTTTACCATTTGGACGTGTTTCGTTAATTACAGTTTAGATGGACCAAGTTCCAAGCTCGGAAACCAATCAATTATGGCACAGAGCGACGAACTCAATACGTCACAGAATATGACAGCTTCGTAAAGCACACGGCAGCGCCTGGAATAAGACTTTCGGAACCACTTATTCTCACTGCTGATTTATAAGACGTGATGTATTTGAGCTTTGAAAGGACGACAAAATAATGCGAGGTTGATGCAGCCTGTTCAGTTGATCCCCCTGTAATTACCAGCGTGTAACGTCCTCCTGGCAATGGCCCATACACCTCTTTGCACTTTTACTTGTGGTACCATAATCCCTCATTAAGCCACTTCACAGTTACGTTTATATTTCATCTCACTGCAGGTAAGAGAATTACATTTAGTCTGTCTGTCACATATAATTATCATTGTCCCTAATTGGGTGTGTTGGTACACAGTTTTCTGCTCTCTCGTTTTGAGAGGAGGAATTTGAAAAACAAGATGAGGTGTTGTGAAAAGAGGGAGCACTAGTGTGAAAATTTTGGCGCTAAAATCTTATTATCTTACTTTAAAAAGTATTGTTACGTAAGGGATTAAAATGGGTTGAACAAAGGGGAGTATTTTTTGTTCCTGAACTGAGGCGGGGTAGGTCAGCGGTCGTTGATGGCGTGGAGCAAGTGTGTGTGTGTGTGTGGATTAACTCGTTGGAAACATCCCTGTTTGGCCGTAATTAAGCCAGCAGTAACGCGTTTAACTGTGCAGTACCGCTGAGAGCACTGCATAATCGTTTTTAACCTACGCTCCTGGCCATGTTTTCATTTCCTCACCACTCTCTCGTGGACCCGTCCGTTAAGAAGCAATGCGATTCCCGTCATTGGCCTTACGCTAAGAAATCAGGGTCACTACTCATGCAAGAGTTAATGAATGAAGGAAGAAAACGGAAGATTAAGAGAGGCAAGAAAATACTAGAGAGAGAAAAAGAATTAAGAAATAATATGAGAAAAAAATGTAAATCGATCAATCGATATGGAACATGAATGATATTTTATTATCTTAATTATAAGAAATTTTAAATAAAAATTATATTGTGATCAGACGGATTAAAATAAATAATTGATATAATATTCACAATATGACGCAATAACATTATCTTATGAGAAAGAAAGAAAAATGAAAAAATGAGAGAAAGAAAGGAACAAAGAAATTACGAAATAATGAAGTGAACCGAACAAAAAAAATAAAAAAGGAGAAAATAGAGAAATAAATAAATTAGAAGACAAAGAGTCCACAACAGAAAGTCAAATTGAGAAATACGTACCTCAGCATCACTCCACCCTCTAAAGCTATTCGATCTGGTTGACAATCAGAACTATAAAGGAAAGCTAAAATTTGAGATTATACGCTCACCTTTGAAGTATTAGACAAGATTACGGTGTGTACAGAAACGGAATTCATTCCGTCAAACAGAAAACTACAACAAAGGATTTCAGGGGAAACCCGTAAAAAACGTATCATGGCGCTTTGATCAGTTGTGTTTATTGTTAACTAATTCCATGGAGTGAAGTCCTTACTGAGAATGTTCCAGTCGCTAAACTAGCAAAGAATTTCCCCTTGTATGGAACTTGTAGACCCAACAGCTCGCTTTTAGATCTCGTCCTGAGCCAATATAAACTCAATATTTAAGACACTACGCAAATGTACTCTTACTGTGAGTCGGTGATTAATATTTTATGTTTCTGTTGACGCCAGAGCAATATTTTAACATCTCTCCGATTTCTTAAATCCGTTATTGGTGGAATTTTCAATTGTCATTGCTCAATCAGTTACTTATGTCATCAAAGAGAGAGTGTCGCACTATCGAAGCTGTTTCTGCTGATATTACACTCGTTCGAGCAGTCTCTTCACAAGCGTGTGATTCGCTGTCATGCTGGTTGCAGAGTCGAGTTGCCTCGAAGCGTGCGGAGTTCACTTGGCGGCGAACGCAAGCCTCACCCGCCGGTCTCCCTTCCCTCTCTCGGCGGTACTGAGTCACACTCCACCAATCCTGACACGAAGTGAACATTTTCTTATAAGAAAATCTCCACCGGCATGATGTCTGTGCCTTGCCTCAAGAAAGTATAAAAACTTGTCTTATAATATGATACCAATAATTTAATCCTGAAACTAATGAGTTTCTAAACAATTAACTGTGTCCCATTGAATGCCAGCAATGTCGAATTACTCAGCTTCAGTCTAGTCCAATATCAGTCTTTCACCAATCCGTTTAATATTTAAAGACTTTCTATGCATTCTTGAGAAGAATGTCCTAATTCTATTTATTTGTCTATCTGTCTATTTCTTCCTAAACTCCATTGTTTCTTTGTTTTTTTTCTTCCTTCTCTTACCTAGAACTGTAACTTTAAGAAAGAGTTCTTCGTTCAGCGAATCAAAAAGTTCCCCGCTTTTTATAAAATCAAAGGTTCATTACTTTTTGTTACACATTCATATTAAATGATACAAAATATAAATGCGAAGTGCGTAAATAAATATCCTCGCAATGTTTCCATTGAATCAAATTAACAAGCACTGAGTTACGCCATGCGTGACTCTGTTCATGAAGATGCATGTTTACAACACGTTAGCGTATGCAACCCAAACAACTGCATGTCACGACAAGTTGCCTAAGTCCACAGGGGCACGGAGTATCTAGCACATGTTTCATTGGTTTGCAATTAGTAGAATGGTAATCGCAGAAACACACGCGAACTCAGATCTACACGTATCAGCAGCTCACGTTTTCCTCGTTTGGATTACTGTTATTTCGCGGGAGAAACTGGGATAAATTCACGACACACATTGACATATTACTTAACATAAAGCTATCACTTCCGTAACGAAAACAAAAGAACCGAACTAGACGATATATACAGACGTTATTAATTCAAAGCCAAGCCCACCTTCCAACGGTATGTCCGGTCTCCACAGCCAAGGTATTGGATATAGTGTCATGGCGGATGTGGGCTGCTTTATATTAATAGGATTTAAGTTACATTAGTAACTACACAAAAGCTTTCTGGTATTAATAGCTACTTAAGTACGATATAATTCTATCGTATGCAGTTATCCTCAAGTGTGTTATAATTATTATAACTTGAAGAGTTATCTTTAAAATTAAAATAAGATATATTTAAATTTATCTCAAGTCCTGGTTGGAAGATATCTGCAAAATATTTAAATAGATATTTTCATTGTTAAAAATGATATTCTATGTTTTCTTTGTTGTACTTATACCCAATTATATTTATTTATTTATTTAGTGTTCTGTCTGACGACAGGTCCATATGAACAGGATCCTTCCATCCTTTTCTCGGACTGGGACCTGTTCATATACGTTCTTGGCAGATGATCCAGAAGTGGTTTGACATTGC